TGGAGAAAATGCCCTCAAAAATTGTGCTCTAGCGGACATATATGGAGAATTTGTCCGCCAGAGCACAAACTGCCACACACTGGCGCCAGAAATGTGCGGACAAGTTCTCCAAACTTGTCCACAAGTTCTGCAAAATATGTGGAAAAGTTTGGAGAACTTCTCTGCACATTTCTGGCGCCAGTGTCTGGCGGACAAGTTCTCCAAACTTGTCTGCACAGTGTCACTGGCGCCAGGGTCTTGCGGACAAGTTTGGAGAACTTTTCCGCCAGACACTGGCGCCAGAAATGTGCAGAGAAGTTCTCCAAACTTTTCCACATATTTTGCAGAACTTGTGGACAAGTTTGGAGAACTTGTCCGCACATTTCTGGCGCCAGTGTGTGGCAGTTTGTGCTCTGGCGGACAAATTCTCCATATATGTCCGCTAGAGCACAATTTTTGAGGGCATTTTCTCCAAAAGATGTCGGTATAGAACTCATTTGGATGAGTTTTGGACATCTTTTGGAGAATTTCTTGCTCACTGGGATAAGTAAGTGTTTTTACCCTGTTGAATGCGATTCCTGATGAGGGTGTTCTCCTGGGGAGTCTCAAGGGACACCAAGTCCATACAGTGGCGACGGCAAACGTTACGGGCATCCAACCAGTCAACCTTCAAGTTCCTGGTTTGCGGGTGTTTCCAGGAGTAGAAATAATTCCTGCCTCCACTGGTCTCGTGAATCACGCCTGCGAAAAATAAGTTTCATTTTACAAATAAATAAATAGAATAACATTCGAACATTCAGCAGAATCTCGTCACGGCGAAGCCTTTGGGAACTCAAAAAAAAGCTTCGATATGAATTAAAAAAAAAAATCGTTAAAACTAAATACGAATAACATTGCGGCTATTGGACAGTGCTGGCCAAAAACTAACATGTGTAAGCATTAATGCTTTGTAACGAGATTCTATCGCGTAGGCAGTGTAATGGAAGCACTGTCCACGAAAATTGTCTAACCTGAATTAAAATTTTTGTAAAAGCTCTCAATTTTTGCTACGTACTAAGTGTTTTTTTGTTTCGAACTGATGACTTTCAATGGACAAAAGAGGAATTTAAACTGAAGTAATACTGCAAATGTATTTAATTTAGTCGTACCGTGCCCCCTTGAACAAAAAATTTGCAATTGGATTTTTCAGCTAAAAATTTGGATTAAAAACTATCCCCGAGTAAAATGACTGATGAACTTCTACTTTAATTGAACCTATAAATTCAATTAATTTTAAATTGTTTCCATTTTTAAATTTTTATTCTAAATGGGTCCAAAATGTTGCGTCTTTAATTTACTCTTGTTCAATCTTGCAATCCAGCTTGAACACTGACTTATATTGATGCAAAATCTGTCCCAAATATCAAGTATGCCGCACTCACACTTGAATTTATAAAATTTCAAAAATTCGTATACCTGCCTATGACAAGCATGCTATTTTTCCTTTTAATTTCGAAACAAGTGCAAGAGGCATTCAAGTAAATACAGCAGTTTATTTTAAAATAATGGATGTGTACCTCAAAATTGGTAAATGAAATACTGCATGTTGATTGCCTTCTAATTTTGCTTGTAAGTAATTGCCTTCTAATTTATATGTAACTCCAGATTTACATATGATTGAATAAAATTCAAGTGTTTAGATTTACATGTCACATAAACTTTTCTTCCCCTTGTTCCTCCCTAATTTTCAAACCTACTTTTGTTCTTTACACACGAATTTCCAAAAAATCCACGATTAAACCAATATCCTGAAAAAAATCTCGCAGTAGTGCGTATTATTAAATAAATGGGGATGTGTGATCTATAAACTTGAAATTAAATTCAGCATGATTGAATAGCTTCCGTGGTTTTTGAAAATGAAACTTATGACACGATTTTTGTGAACATTTCTAGAAAAATCTCATTTCGTTCCAGTCCAATCAAAGACGGGGTTCCGGCTTCATTTCCATAATTAATAAATCAAATTGAATCATGAAAACTGAAACAATTAAATAGAGGTTCCTGCTTAAATCCGGCGCTAAATTTTTATCTTTATTTTTTGAAAAGCCTCGTGTAAATTAATTGACTGGGAATACTTACGGTTGCGGCATTCGTTGACGTGGTTGGGGTTCCTGGGATCGGGTACATACAGGCTGCGACCGCCGCCACCGCCGCCTCCACCACCGCCGCCGCCTCCGCCGCCGCCGCCGCCACGACCTGCTTGACGTCCACGAAGGCGTCCTCGCTGTCGCTGACGCTGGCGTCTAAATCGCTGCCCTTCGACGATCGCGAACACCGCGAGGGCCAATACAATTCCAACCGTCAACCTCATCTGAAATTTCCAATGGAAAAAGAGAAAGGTTTCATTATATAGTCAAGATAAAACAGCGAAATTCTGGAAACATGCGAATAATTCGCGAAGAATGTATTTATTTGAATAGAACGGTTTATGAAATATATCCTATCGAAAAAAAGAAGTTAAGAAAGAATTTATTCTGTTTCTGAGAAATAGGCCGCCTCTTTCGCAAGGTTTCAGTTCATTGAGGAAGAGTTTTTCTTGGGTCAGCATAAAATTTGAAAAGAATTTCGCACAATAGCGTAATAATATGAATCACGATGAAAAATACAATTTCAGAATTCATTATCATGATCATTAGCTCATCGACAAATGAATTCCATATTTTATTTGTTTTATT